GTCCATCAAGGGGCTGAAATTTTTTTCAAGATAGAGAGCTTCTTCTTGGTTAAAGTTAAAAATAACTATCAAATCACTTGTTCTTGGTGACACTTACCAATTAATTACTAATCCTGGTGGTGCTGTTTCAAGGCATCCTATTAGTGATACTGTTTATATTCAACCTGCACACGCTTGTGTTTGTGTAGGTATAAATGATCTCAGACGAGAGATCATGTTGTTTCCAGAGACAGGTAACAAGTATGCAGTGTTGGATCCCTTTCGGAGAAGTGTAAACCTCCCCAAGGTGATTGTACCTGTTTATCCACAAATTGGTGATCTTGTGTCTGTGATTGGTGATGATGAGAATTGACCCATGGAGGGTACTAATAACTGAAGTGAGTAACCATAGATCAACAATGGGAGGTTATTTCTATGTAAAACATCCCAATTTTGATGCCAACCACCTGTAGGTAAGAGAGCGGCCCCAAAGGAAAGAGACTATTCATTTCAACAGTCTTTTGTCCATTGTGAATGGTGAATGGGTGGGTAATGCATGGAGAGACACTTAAGAACTTTTACCACAATATTGACTTTACTTTTGTAGTATACATGAATTGTAGCTAATAATCAACCTATACACGTATGAAAACAGTAGAATATTATACAGCGACTGGCAGCACAGGAGAATAATATTACAGAGCATGCCTATAAATCCATAGTTAATATTCGAGCCTGGATCTCATAAAGATAATATGTTTCTTACTAAAGGTAAGTTCCACTTTTGGTTTTGACCTAATCCAAGTTTGGATTAAGTAGAAATCCAGCACAGGAAAATGAGATATCCAGATTTGCGTTTTTTTTGCAAGCAGAATATCTCAAAACCCATAGTTAACAACCAGACCTGGAGATTGAAGAAAACAGATTGCTAAGTTCCACTTTTGGTTTTGACCTAATCCGAGTTTGGATTTAGCAAAAATCCAGCGCAGGAAAATGAGATATACAGATTGGATTGGGTTGGATTCCTCAATACCCATGATGCTGTTTCTTTTAATAACCAGGATGGGGAAAAAACAGTGATATTTATTACCTGACTGACAAACCAGGAGAAAACCAGATTAAAAGCAAACATGGTTGTTATGGGAGGCTGGATTTTACAAAATCCACGTTAAAACCAAGAAAAAACTACATTGGGTTTTTTTTTTCCTGTTTGTTTTTTTTCCTTTTTTTCCCCACAAAAACATGTTTTTGTGTCATCTCGACTGATTGCTGCAATCCAGCAAGTTCTTCTTTCTCTTGTCTGTTCTTTGTGCTCTTGTCCTTGTTTTGTAACGATTTTGGGGATGGAATGGAAACTTACCTTATGTTTTCCGCTTTTGGAACCACATCCATACCTCACGCTACTCTGAGACTGTTTACACTTAAGGGGCACAAAGATGGTGGATAGCAACCATTGTCAAGGAGATAGTCATGTGGGTGAAAGTCAAGAATAGTGGGGTCACCGGACTTTTTTTTTAAATAATTCACTTTGTGTGTCAAGAAAATCCACGCACGTCTCGCGCATTTCCATAATCTGGCCTTTATAAGATCCGGTTTTTTTCTTACGCAAGCATTGTCCGTTGGTCAAAATATTGATTTGTTTCAAAGAGTTGCTCGCTCGATTTTTGGTCGATTTCATCAACTTAATCAGTCATTCAAGTGGACCTGTAAACTATTTTTCGAAGTGCCATTAACAAGCTTGCTTCGTTTCTATGTTTTGAAGAATTTTGGTCATTTAAATCTGGCTAATGTTATGCAAGGTACGTTCACTGGGCCATTCCATTTAATATCCGCACCCACCCCCCCATTGAAGGCCTGGGATTTCGTAGGGGGAGGGGGGTCAATGCTACATATTTCTGAGAGGGGTCAAGCCAACTCTTCTTCAACACTAATCTCCCAAGTCCTAAGTCGTCATTTTGTTGGTGCTTCACTTGTGGTCAGCGGAGATGAAGTGGATCAGAATTACACTTCATGTATGTGACACTTGAGCTAATAAGGAATCCAGTTTTCTTAAAAACAGATGAATAAAGGCTGATAGTTTCGAAAGAAATTGTTTGGGGCTGCGTCGGTGGGGTAGCAAAATAATTTGGATATATCAACAAAGTTGAAATGGTAAATTGGCTACTGTAACGATTACAAAAGCTGACATTTTGAGCGTTAGCCCTTCGGCGGATCGAATAGAGGAATTGTGGGTTGTGCGTGCTTTTAAAGGTGAAAAATGAAGCTCCATTTTCCACCTTTAAAGCATGCACAACCCACAATTCCTCTATTCGTTCCGACAAAGGGCTAACGCTCAAAACGTCAGCTTTTGTAATCATTACGGTGGCCAATTAACCATTTCAACTTTGTTGATATATCGAAATTATTTCTTAAAAACAGTTTTTGAGCTGATTTTAAGGTCAAGTGGTTGTTTGTTTTTCTACATTAGTGGCAAATCAGGGAGTGATCGAAGGAAGAAGAGGATGATAAACTTATTTCTAATAGCCAATGCAATTTCCTGGGTGATCATGAAAATGTGCAGACTGATTTATCTAAAATTATGGCATTTAGCCATGGTCACCTTGCATGCACAAAAAGACTGATGATGAAGCTAATTTCCCATTACTTCACAATTTATTCAGTTTTCTTTTTTTTCTCGTAGAACAGACAGGGAGAATGAAACAAAAAAAAAATCCAGTTTCTCTTATGCCACCTGAGAAATTATTTGCATACCAAATAAATTAATTTCCTCAGACTGTGTGAATAGCTGTGGGGATTATTTAGTACTGCTAATCATGACAATAAGCAATTGCAAGTGATGTAAACTGACAAGAGAGAGATAGGACAATAGGATACAATACAAATTTTATTTGAAAAAAAAGGTGTGTTAATTGAAAAAAAATCTTAATTTTATAATTATACAACAACAAACATACGAAACATATGTATGAACTGCGGTTATGAAACGTATATGTGCACGATCCTTTGCAGTAAAGCACTCTTTGAGCAATAGTGAAAATCAGACCTGAAAAAACAAATTTCAGGCCTGTACGGGATTCGAACCACTGACCTCTGCGATACTAGTGCAGCGCTCTACCAATTGAGCTAACAAGCCAACTGGAAGCAGGCCATCAAATTAATTCGACATAAACCCGTAGATGATAAATCAAACAACAACAAACATATGAAACATATGTATGAACTGCGGTTATGAAACGTATATGTGCACGATCCTTCGCAGTAAAGCACTATTT